GAAGAAGAAGAAGAAGAAGAAGAAGAAGAAGAAGAAGAAGAAGAAGAAGAAGAAGAAGAAGAAGAAGAAGAAGAAAAGAGTCTCCTTCTTGAAGCAGCTGTTAACTGCCAATAGCTCCTCAGGGACGGGGCCTAGGGATCATCTCCTCTATCTATGTGGGGATTTTGGCTGCCTTGATCTTACATGGGTCTTGCATGTCCATCCAGGGCTGGACTGCAGGGTCACGGTAGAGCACTTATCTAGAATAGCAAGGCTCTGAGTTCCATCTCCAGCACTACAAAACAGAGACAAACAGACAACAGCTTCCCCAGAAGACCCAGTCCAATCTGACTTTCATAGACATTTTTACTGACTCTCCAGAGAAGGCTTGCTGCTCCTTACTCTGGGTTCCCAAGCCTACAATACCCTGACACTGTATGCATCTTGCACACAGATGCTAAGATACATTCATCTCTGAACTGTTGTGAGCATGGCAGCTGCAAACCATAATTGCTCAATAAATATTTAATGAAAAGAAATCTGCATAGGAAGTGTACCTATGACAAAATAAGTCCATGGCCAAGGCCAAAGAGACTCCACATACCAATGTATTAGGTTCCTAAAAGTGCTTTTTATTATTTATGGAGACAGGGTCTTTATCCTCCTGAACTAGCCACCCTGTCCTGACCTCCTGAATGCTGGGATCATAATCACATCACCATAACAGTATTGGGATTTCTACATTATAACTGCTCTTTCACTATTACCATTCACATCCTTGGAAAACAATCCCTCAAATTACTTAAATGTGCCATTGCTCAACTATAAAGTAGCACTGCAAATACAAGGTCAGGGCCCCTGGGCTACACGGTGAGATCAGAACCAGCCAGAGATTCTGTTTCAGAAAGCAGGAGATTTAAGGACAAGGCCAGGAAGGTCTGCCCTTTTGCTTACACAATGTGTGGACCTCTAAAGCTTCTCCCAACTCTCAAGCCTCTAAATATGACAATTTGATCCTCCTCCTCCCCGAAAGTAAACTGGGAAAGAGAGTTTATGTTTTCTTCTTGGCTCAAGTAAAAGGGAACGTTTTTCATATTTTCCATTGTTAGTCTTTTGACTATGTTTTTCTTAACTTTTAAAAAGTTTTAAACTTATGTGTGTGTCTGCATGCACATACATATCACATATGCCTGCAGAGGCCAGAAAGGAGTCACAGCTATCCTAGAACAGAGTTATGGGAGGCTGTGAGCCACCTAATATGGGTGCTAAAACTGACCTTGGGTCCTCTGCACAGCAGCAAGCACTTCTCACTGCTGGGCCATTTCTCTGGCCCTAGACTTCCTTTATGATGGCTGTAACTAATGAAAAAAATGAGTTTTTAGCCAGGGGTGTTGTACCCAGTACCTAGAAGGGCAGAGACAAGAAATTTAAGTCAACCTGATCTTTAGGCAAGTTCATGGCAGAGGCAGGTGGATCTCTGTGAGTTCAAGGCCAACTTGGTCTATATCGAGAGTTTCAGGCCAGTCAGGGCTACACAATGAGACCCTGTCTCAGAAAACAAACAAAAATGTTCAACAATGACAAATGCTAGTTTAGTTTTATATGCAATAGGTATTAGTTAAAAAAAATAATGCTTTCAAGTAAAGCTTAATTATATAAAAATACAGAGTCGGATACATTTAAAAAATTGGCATTTGTTTGTGTGTAGAGTTATGTGTGGGATGTTACCATGTCTACGTTGATGTCAGAGGACAACCTGCAGGAGTCAGTTTTCTCTTTCCACCATGTGAGTTCTATGGATCGAAGTCAGGGTTGGTGGTAAGTTCTTTTCCCTACTAAGACATCTCACTTTTCACATCTTCTACATTTGATGGAGAGGTAAGTAGCCATTGAAATCTTATGACTTCATAATCATACACTAAATGAAAACAATCGCACACTTTCTTTTGTCTATGTGTGGTGTGTGCATGTGTGCAAGTGTTTGTGTGTGCACATGCACGTGGAAGCTGGAGGACACCAGGTGTGTGCATGTGTGCAAGTGTTTGTGTGTGCACATGTATGTGGAAGCCAGAGGACACCGGGCTTCCTGTGTTACTCTTTGTCTTAGGCCCTAGACAGTCACTCCCTGAACGGATGCTCGCTATTTTTCAGCTAGGCTGGCTGGCTGGCTCCAGTCACACCACACTGGGGCTACAGGTATGTGTAGTCACACCCAGATTTTTGTTGTTATTGTTTTGTTTTTGAGTCAGGGTTTCTCGGTGTAAGCCCTGGCTGATCTGGAACTTGCTATGCAGACCAGGCTGGCCTTGAACTCCCAGAGATATGCCTGCCTCTGCCTCCCCAGTGCTTTGATTAAAGGTGTGCAGTAGCACCTCTTGCCACACCCAGCTTTTTTATGTAAGTTCTGGGGATCCAAACTTAGGACCTCATGCTTGTATTGGAAGTGACCATACCCACTGAGCCATCTCCCTAGCCCCATGCTTTGAATAGCACGTCAATTCTACTTGTCCTTTGCTTTCATTTCACATGGAAATTCTTTTGAGTACCACTTTACCAAATTTAGTTCTGGTTTATTTTTCAAATGAGAAACATGAATCAGTACTGGTGCTCTCCGTTCTGACGGCTCCTTCAGGAAGACACTCAGGTGCAGGACACCTACAGGGCATCTCTGTGTCATAGGCGAGCATCGTGTTTAGGAACTACCAGCTAGCGGATGAGGGACTGGCTCATGGGTAAAGCATTTGCTGTGCAAGTCTAAGGACTTGAGTCTGAGTCCTCATAATTCACACAGAGCTGGGTGTAGTACAGTGTGTCTGTAATTTCAGGACTCCACCGGTAACTGGACCTTTGAAGGTCTGGACCAGCTGGTCTGCACTGTGCAACAGTAAACAAGTGATTCTGCCTCAAATACGTTAAAAATGGACTAGAGGTTGTCCCCCGACTTCCACACACGCACATAGCATACGCACACCAGCACACTTGTGTGTGGCGTACATACACAAAGAGTTCAAAAAGGAGTACCAGGAGTGGTGGTGCATGCTTTTATTCCCAGAATGCCAAGGCAGAGGCAGGCGGACCTCTATAAGTTCAAGGCCAGACTGATCTACATAGGAGTTCCAGGCCAGCCAGGGCTTCATAGTAAGTCCCTGTCTCAAAAGTGAAACAAAATAAGAAATGCCAATCAGGCTGGGATGTAGTTCAGTTGGTATAATGCTCGCCATGCAAGTGTGAGGGTCTGAGTACAATCTCCAAACCCTCACAAAATTCCAGGTGCTGGCTGATGGTGGTGGCGCACGCCTTTAATCCCAGCACTTGGGAGGCAGAGGCAGGTGGATCTCTGTGAGTTTGAGGCCAGCCTGGTCTACAGAGCAAGTTCCAGGACAGGCACCAAAACTACACAGAGAAACCCTGTCTCAAAAAACCGAAAAAAAAAAAAAAATTCCAGGTGTCATGCTCAGAATCCTGGGCCTGGGAAGGTAGAGATGAGCTGACTGTCTAGTCAGGCTAGGCTAATCGGTGTGTTCCCAGGTCCCCAAAAGACCCATTCCTGCTCCCCAAAAGGTGGACAGTTCCTGAGGAACAACCACAGATGTTGTCTTCTTGCCTTCATACATACATGCACATACATGCATGCATACCAGCATAAACATGTATACCGGTTCTCTCTCCCTCTCTCCCTCTCTCTCTCTCTCTCTCTCTCTCTCTCTC